AAAATGCCTGGGGGTAATGAGAAAATAAAATGCCTGGGGGTAATGAGTCCACATTACCCCCAGGATTTTCAGTTTTACCCCATTTGGGGTAATTTACCCCTGTTCCCTGACCACTGCTTTAGCCAAACTTAGCTACCGGCTATAAAAGCGCAGTTGTATTTTCTGGAGTGCTTGGATGGAATTTGAAGTTAGTGTAAAACGTTCCAAGATATTACCTCTCTTGTTTGGGGTCACTGTTCGGGGCACATAAAACGGATGTACAGCGATCCGCTGAAAAGCTTTTCAAACGCCAGGAGAATATGAGCATAACATTACAGTTTCTCTCCCCACCCCCCTTCTTTTTAATGTTCTTCAGTCCTGCCTTCTAACACTTTTCCCGAAGGGAACGAACCATTGTAAGAGCGGGAGGGGTGCTGGCTTGCTTCTTCTGTTGGAAAACGGAGGTGGGCTACCCTAATGGGCGGGACTGATTGTTGCTTCGGTTAAGCTTGGGAGAGGAGAAGGAGCCTGTCCGGCTCGGAAGGAGAGACTCCGCTGAAGCAAGTGGCGGAAAGCGAGTTTCTGGAGGGGCTCGAAGAGAGAAGGATGTACAACAAGGTCGAGGACGAAGAGGTGAGTCGTGGGCCGACGCTGGGGGACCCAGGCAGCTTTTGTCCTGCGCGCGGGAGCCAGCGGAGGATCCGACGAGGTGGGAAGGCAGAGAAAGAGGCATCGCTTGAGAAAGGATTCTGTTGCTTGAGTCCCTGGAGTCCGGAAATCGAGCAAGCAGTGCCGGAGGAAACGTTTAACACTGGTCCCTTGTTTCTCTCCCTCCCCCCCTCTATTTACCCTCGAGTATTACTATTTTAAAGCTCAGACCCTTCGCACTTCTTTCCCCGCTTTGCATTTATTTTCAGGAGGCAGCCTGTTTTGCCTGAAGTGGGGTGAATGTTTAGCTGGGCGGTGCTTTCCGTGGATTAAAAAGGGAAAGGATTTTTCCGTCCTTTTCTTCAGCAATCCGGGATGCTTTCCCCTTCCCAGTTCCGCACATGTGCGCTACCGGATTGCTTACATTAGGTTTCCAAGCTTTCGGATTAAAATGGGACAGCCAGTGTTTGAAAACCGAAGTACTGCTGACTTGGTGTAACTGTTCCCCTTCACTGGGAATAATGTGCTAAGCAAAAGATTTGGCTGGATCCCCTGGAACTGAGGAGATTAGCGCTTGCCTTGAGACAGATTTTATGAAAATACAGAACTAAGTGAATTTCTTTCAGCCAGGTAGTATTTCATTTTTTTAAGTACTGGTACTTCTTCTCCCTGGGATTCTTTACTTGCTAGGTATTCCTCTATTAGTTGTGCTTGGAAAAAAAACAAAGCTTTTTAAATACTTTATTGCTTTTCCCTTTGGGAATTTTTAATACAGCAAAGTAGGTTTTCCAATAGTGGAAATTAAATGAGAGCAGGGGACATTGTTCTACAAGAAACCAGCAAATGAAGATGTGTATTTACTGTTTGTAGGCAAACGGGTGCATTGATTTGTTTGTTAAATTTATATGACCACCCATCTTGCTCAAAGTGACTCTGGATGGTGTACAATAAAGCCAACAATCAAAACATTCTACAAAACCACCTACAATGTATGAAAGATAAGAAAGAGGAGGTAGAGGCACATCTTTCATATTGCCTAAGAGCTAAAAGGCAGCAGTTTCAGGCTCAATCTATTCTAAGTCATAATAGGTTTTGGTGCTCTTTTAGAAGGGCTGAAGTTAATGAGATTGGAAGGAAGCTTTTTGACTTTCTCCAGTGATATCCGTCTGCAAATCCATCATAATTTCCCCACTTTGCCAAGTGATTCTTTGGCACAGTGGGAGAAAGATAATTTGAGGGAACAAAAAGACCGATCACATCTTTGCTTTGTGTATTTAAATTTTTTTGCTCCATTGGCCTAACATTGTATCATGCTGACCTCCATGGAGCTTTAAAGAAGGCTCCCTACATTTCTTCTAAGTCCAACATGTCATTTGTTGAAAGCATGCCTGCCAGGATAATTCCTGTTAAGTTATAAATCTTTAGAAAATAATAAATCTGTTGTTCTTGAAGGTGCTGTAGATGAAATTAAGCAATGTGGCATAAAAATGGGGGTCTGCATCTAGTCTAATAGATGGGTTATAAGAGCTGGGAGGCAGACCTTTAAATCTTATGACTTTATAAGACTTCAAGGTTATTTTCCTAAACAAATTCATAAGAACTGGTTATTGGAGGGTTTTTTATGCTATTGCATTTTATAAATGGGAATGTGCAGTAGAGATGCTGAAATAACTTCATTTTCCTATGGAAGAAGTGCAGAGAAGTGTGAGGCATTTCAAACACGATTACTATTGATGTTATCCACAGTTGTTTTAGTGACATCTAAACAACTATATGTGCAAAAATAATGGAAAACATTCTGTATTTTGCAAAGTAGTGGACAGAATAGCAGTTATATATGAAAGCTGTTATTATGTCACTGTTAGATTCCCTTAACTTATTGTTCCAGTCCAGTGTTTTGTAGGTGACTGATTTGGTAATGCTGGTCACATGTACTGAGCAGAGTTTTAAATATACACATAATAATTAACTGCCTTGCAGAACTATGTTAAGTGCATGGAAAGCAAGTTACAGAGCTTTGATGTCAGCTTGATTCTTGTTTCTACTTTGACACAACTAAATGGGAGATTGAGAGTGCTTCTTTCTTGGAATAAGTTCTTGAAGTTTTCTAAAATCAAAAATTGAGCAAGTCTTTCTTCAAAGAGTGGGTGTGTAGGGGGAGATGGACTTAAATATTCTGAATCAAGGAAAAACTTCTCTTGAGCCTGGCCTAGTTTAGAAGATGATAATAAGTTGACCCAAGATTGCATGGGAAGCACATCTTGTTCTGTAGCCTGTGCCTGAGGCACTGGTAGCCTATTATACATATAATTGCCCTACTGATAAAGGAAATAAATGTTACAAATACTTTCAGCAACATATTTAAAATGCTGTCAAGAGTTTTACACATTTCAAGGACCAGACATTTGCAACTAGAAATCAGCATGCCATCAATATATTTTTTTATAGTACATTTGTGTCTTTCATTCTTATCAACCTTTCAGATGACAAATGAAACTGGAAAGCTATAACAGCACTGAAAAAAAGTGACTTATGGCTGTTTTTCACACAACCATTGCAGCTTCCCTTTGGTCACACAGTCAAAATTCAGATGCTTGGCAACTGGCATATGACAGTTGCAATGTCCTGGAGTCATGTGATCATCTTTTGCAACCTTCTGCCAAGAAAAGTCAATAGGGAAACTGGATTCACTTAATTATATTATTAACTTAACAGCTTAACTTAACAACCGCAGTGATTCACTTAACTGGCAAGAAATAGGACCAAACTCACAAAATCTGTCTTGCTTAGCAACAGAAATTTGGGGCTCAATTCTGCTCCTAAGTCAAGGAGTATCTGTAATATGTGTCCACAACTTGCTTTGTTAAATACATGTTTAAGAACTAATGGATTTAAATAATTACTCATGACTAGAAAACCCCGTGACTCATTGGGTTATCCTTTGAGACAAAGCTATACAGTGCAGTCTGATATGATCAGAATGAATATTAACTTTTAAGTCAACCACATTTTTTACTCCAGTGCTGCATCCCATGATCATTTAAGAAAAGTATATATCATAAATATAAAAGTAATTGTAGTGGCAAACAAACTTTGAGTAAGTCAGTATTTACTTATCAACAAAATGATTATGTGTGGGCAAAAATTAGTGGGAACATGAATGATCTCCACATTCTAACTGCTTCCCTATTCATTTTGCTTATGGAAAGATAGAAAAATCATATTGGTGTGACTGTGAGATGCTGCAATGGCCGTAACTTTGTAAATAAAATGTCTGAACGTGGAAATATCAATTCTATAAGAGAAATAAAGCCCTATTTTTTGTGCATTATTTAATTTAGCAGCCTGGATTCAAAAATTGTGTAATGCACCATTTGGAATAACTTAAGGGGACAAACAAGCAAACAAACAAGTAAACAGGTTTAGTGTAGGTAGGTAGGTAGGTATGTAGATACAATGCAAAAAAAATTATATTGCAATAAGTCTTACTGATCACAAAGGGGCTTGTTTCTGATATATTGCTATTCAAGCCTGCCTTCATAAAAATGCATAGGATGGAAAGAGAGTCAAGCCCTCTAGAATTGTCTACATCAACTGTCAGACTTTAAGGTTGGAATATTTTAAAGAATATTTAATATTAATATTGAATTAAACATAACTTGCTGTGTCGTCTCAATCCTGGTAAAAAAGTTAAACTCAATTCTGCATAATGGACGCACTAGCAAACCAATTAGCAATAGTTGAGGAAACTGCCTGACTATAGTTAAAATCAGTCACAATTTAGAGTTCAGATGAAACACTTGTAATCTGCTGTTACCTGGAAAGGAAGAGAGAATTAGGTTTAGACCTGTATGAGAAATTATATAGGCTTTGGTTGTTCTCTTTCCCTTGCTTCATCGTATTGTACAACAGACAGAAAACTCTTGCAGCCCACATGGTTCTTCTTCTCATATTTGCTGCATTCCATCCTCTGAAAATGTGCCTTTACTAACAAAATAGAGATAGTAACTTTTCCTCAATCTTAAAGCCTGAAAAGAGTATTGGCTGTCACTGGTAGATTTTTATAAAATTCTTTGCCAAGTGGGGCTGGGGTGGTCACTCTTCGGGAGAAAATGGTTCACCTTCCACTTTAAAGTGTTCTGACTGTTCCTTGAATAATCATTTCAGGCTTTGAAATAATTTTAGCTATTGTGAATGAAGGCAATGTTTCTGTGCATGAAAGTGAATATGATATGAGTTTGAGAAGATTGACAGGGGCTGTTTGTATATCTGAGCCACTTTATTGGTGGCATCTCACCTCATAGCATGCTGGTCTAGTTCCTCCTTCGAGCTGAAACAAGAGTCCATCGTTTATAAATAATGTGTATAATCCCTATTGAGTATGCAACTTTTTCAGTTATGGTTGATTTTATTACTTACATATTGCTAGACACTTATTTTTTTCTCCCTTTAAGGCAATAAAACTGTATGCTTGTTTTAAAACTTCTTATTCCTTTGAATTTTATTTTCCTTAGAAAGTTCAAATGCAAATTATTATCAGTATCTTTCAGAGAAACTTTATTGATAGAATTCTTTTGATAAATATTTATAAAGCTATGGGAGTTAAACTGTCTTGTTTTCTACTAAATATTCTAATATGTACGAGCAGAAATATGTTTAGACTAAGTGCTCTATGAACTCATGAGCCTATTGAAGGGGGAACATGAATAGACCTTTTAGCATTTGTTATACTTTCAATTATTTATGCCTAGATCACTCATCTATGACATATATTTTCAATTCAGTAGACAAAAAGTGGAGTCGTTTAATAATCTTTGGTGAGAACACACTTCAACACTGCATAATAACGTGAAGAAGATGGGAGTGTAGACATGTGCAGGAGGCCCCACAGAATTCATTTGGCTTTGGTCCTAATTAAATGAATATAAGGTTGTAACCACATGTTAATAATATGTTCCTGTGATCTTCCCTGTGGTCCTTTCAGATGATTCAGTAGCAATTTTTTTTGCTTTTGTTTTCATCCAGAGTCATTTAACATGTTTGTTGTTGCAGATAGAACAAGTTTGCATGTATGTATGTATGTATATATGTATGCATATATGCCATCCATCTCACTGATACTGCAACTTTGGGCCACTTACAATAAAATAAAAAGTTAAAAAGTGCTAAAAAAATTAAAAATTGAATAGAGAAGTTAAAAGTTAAAAACCAACATCATAAACATTCTGGGAGATGAGAATCTTCTTTATCCCATCAGCCAACCCCAACGTAACAGGTTCTTTTGGGGCTTTAGGCCAAATAGCACAGCTGTAGCTCTTCCAGAAGGCCAGGAATGTGAGGTCGAACTTCACTTCTAATGACAGAATATTCCAGAGGGTGGGGCCACAACAGAAAAGGCTCTTCTGGATCTTGCGAGTCAAAATTCTTTGGATCTGAAATAGGCCTTTTCCTCTGGAACGAGCAAGGTGGGTTAATCCCATTGGGGTGAGATATTTCCTAAGTGTCCCTGGACTCATGCCATAAAGAACTTTAAAAGTAATGACCAATATCTTGAATTAGATATTTAAAAATTAGAATTAAGCAAAATGACAACCAGTACAACTCATATAACAGTGGTGTAACACGTGCCACTGACAGCCTCCAAAACAGTACACACGGTATCACTACATTCTGTATCAAAAGTAGATTTCGAACACACTTCAAGGATAGCTCCATGTAGAGCATGTTGTGGTAATCTAATTGGGAGATGACCAGGACATAAATGATTATTTGCAGGGCCTCATGATCCAGGAAAGGGCACAGCTGGTTTACAACATTGTTTCACAAAGACTCTGCTAGGCATGACGGCTACCTATCCTTCGAGCAGGAATTGTGAATCTAGGATCTAGATTTTGCAACTGGGTATATCGATGACAGCGCAACCCCATCCAGAACTAAGGATGATAAATCTCAGGTCTTGAAGTCCCTTGAACAGCTGAATCCTTTTGCCCCCCCCCCCCTCCAATCCAAGTTGTATTCCATTATAACTAGAGATTATCAAATTTGAGGTTTCTATAATCTCCTACTGTTTAATAAAAGGAAGAGCTGACCATTAATAAACAGAACCAAGAGAAAATGCAAAGAAATGGCCAAAGCAGATTTGACATTTATTAAAACTGAGATGATTGCATGGACACAAGTATTGTAAATAACATTTTAAGTTGCCTTTAAGATTCAATTCTATACTGTAAAAACACTGAAAGTATATTTATTCTATTATGCATCTCTTCTGTCTTCCTCACGTTCCCTGCTTAAATTGTTGGCTATTTCCAGTCTCACTTACTGTTTTGTTTCATATGAGATTTATTTGCTTTGGGTTTTTTGGGGTTTTTTTGGGGTTTGTGTGTGTGTGTGTGTGTGATGACTTGGATTTTAAACATTGTACATGAACTGTAGCATATTTTAGTTTAGAAAGCAAACTGTAATATTTTAATACTTAGTTTTTAAAGATACTGCATTTCAAAGTATTGTTTATTATGAGCTTATTGTTTTTGGGTTTTTACAGGTGTCAGAATTTATCTGTTTTCATCTAATTTGGCTGTAATAATCCTCTTTTGGTGAGCAGCAACATGATGTCAAATAGAAATAATCTTGCTTACCACAGTCTTAGAACAGGTATGTAATTCATTACTTATAGTAATGTTTCTTTAGCATTTAATGACCTAGAACTATTGACTAATTATGATGCAGTCTAAGTTAGACTAGACTGGGTGCATGCTGTCTCATTAATGATCAGAATAACTTATTCACCTGTAAAATGTGTATAATTGCAATAGCTACAGGAGTCATTGTTTGAATATATTCTACACAAAATAAACTTTGGTTTCCTATTTTCCTCAGTAATGTTGAATCTTTAGTTTTCTGCCTGTGTAAGAAACTAACAAGACAGTAAATACATTGTTTCAGTATAACAGTAATTAGCAAGTACTTGTTTACTAACATATGAAATAGCTACTGTGCAGTGAAAGTTAATCAATTTCCACTCTAGTTGACCTACAGATCTTCTTTCCAAAATAAGCTGTTATGTTTGTATTAACCTGGAAGTGCCAATTAAGGCATAACAGAAATCATATTTATGACAATATCATAAGTAAGACATCCTTTTTAAAAATATTGTGGCTGAGTAAAATTAGCACTATTCATATTTTGCTTCTACGCTTGCTATATTATTTTTTAAAATGAAAAATAATAATTATAGAGAGCTGGTTGTTAGGTTCCATGTTTCCCTTGTATTTTGGTTATGATGATGTACTATGGATATTTTTTTGCTTATTATGGATGGCTGTATTTATTGGACTGCTGTAAATTACTGTTAGTCTTTATTGATTCATCGGTATATAAATGATATAAATAAATAATTTCCCCTATTTTATCTCCATTGAAATCAATGGATTAAAGTATTGCATATAAATATAAAATGCTGAAAATAGCTCTTGGAATTAATTACATTTGAAACACATGCAAATATTTTCAATCTCTGGAATTTCCCAGATGATTTAAAGAGCTGCTGCTAATCAAGATAGACAATAGCGAGAAAGATTATTGCTTCCCACTCTAAACCTCTTTTAAGATTCCATATATTTAACAAGAACCAGATTTGCAGATGCTTAAAATCTGCTTTCAACAGCTTAATTTAGCAGTTTAGAATATTGTGTGTTAGCACTTTAATCAAAATATTCTTACATGTGCTGGGTGGAGTAATACAAAGTTCTTGCTAATGCACAATATTTTCCATGCTTTGTTCCCTCCCTCTTGTATATATTCTTTTTTATAAATTACCACTGATAATTTGAAATATATTTCAAGGAAATAATGCTGTGGTTTTCGTTAAAGACCTGCAAAATGGAGAAATCCTCTCTAGTATCTTCTCCAAAGATAAAAATGATCAAAAGTAAAGACAGAGGATTTGAAGATGAATATATTTCACCTTGAAATTACAACCTGACTCTGCTAGCTTGATTAAATTATTTCTATATTGGTAGTAGGAAATTATTGATATCTAATAATTTGATTGCAGTAGGAAGTTTTGATATTGTGAATTGACCATTCAATAAACCTTAAGACTATATAGTATCCAATATATGTACATAAGAATTAATTTGTTGGACCCATTGGAATATACTTCTAAAAAGTATAAGATTGCAAAATTAACATATTTACACCTTTATTTTTATGAATGCTGTCATAGGTTTCATCCAGGTCCTGAGAAATTCTCAGTTGAGTTTTACTAACTTTAATTGGTAATGGGGATTAAAAGAAATGAGCCTAGGACAGTGTTGGTGAAAAGGGAGTGCACGCACGGGGGAGCGCTAGAAACCAGAAGAGCAGCTCTCCGGCACGCATTTGTGCACCAGGAAACTGAGCTTTTGGTTTCCGGCATGCACATGTGCACCGGCCACTTGGTCTTCCTGTTTCTGGTGCACATACACATGCAAAGACCACATGTGCGCCGGAACCTGGAAGAGCAACAGGGATGGCTGGCATGCCACTTCTGGCATGCATGCCATGGTTCGCCATCACGGGCCTAGGATGGTATGTTGTCTAGGGTTTTGGCATCAGAGAACTATTGCATTTTATTATTTTTCTTAAATCAGCATAAATTATTCTAGATCATGTATTAGAAATAATGTTTATCGATCTGGTAACTATGATGAAAATGATCCAGTTGAATAATGCCCCCTTGTAGATTGAAAAAAATCCTTTTCATGTTATGCATTGTTTTAAAATAGGTTTCTATTTGCTAGCAAAATTTCCCAATGAATCCAGAGAGCTTTGGAACAGGGAGAGAGATTGGAAAGCAATACTCAAATTTATTCAGTAATCCTCTCCTAATTGCATAAATGAGATGGTACACTGAGATATCACACATACCCCTACCTTCAGTTACATACTTCTATACATTGGAGTGTAAAGTTATTTGTCAGAGTTCCCATCTACAATTTTGAACTCATATTTTTCAGGGTTTTGTACAACAAGAATGTGGGTTGTTGAAAAGGTGCAAATATATATAAAGTAGGACAAAGTTTTCCCCTAAAAGGGAAGTGTTTGTGACTATGTGACTCTGAATATTATATTATCACTAATTTGATGTCCACCCATTGCTTGTTGGGGGGCAAAATGAGAGAGACCATTATAAGAATAAATTTAAGTGGCAAGAGTTCACTTAACTTAATGCATAAATAAATTATTCTTGAAACTGAGACAGCTATATCAGACTGTTTCTGCCTTTTATCCAATACAATCTATTACCTACTTGTAAGTAAGGATCTTGACCTTTCCCCCATCCATTCATTTTTTTTTCTCTCTTTGCAGGCAGCTAAGATAAATAGCTTATACTGGAAATTTGTTTCTGGTGTACCACTAACATCATTGATTTGGTGGCGTCTTATCTCGCACAGGTCTATCTTGATTCTTTTTGTATAACAGGGCTGTTTAAAACAGGAATACTTTTTTAATCCTCTGATTTGAAAATAGTTTCTAAAATTACTCATCTTTACATTCACTGTAATCAATGTTGCTACAAATTTTTTGTTGAGTTCAAGTTGCATGAAGTATGAATTGTAAAAGTACTGCAAGCTAGGAAAAGAGTGAATAATTCACTTGTTAAAACTCTTTCCTCTTCTTCTCTCTCTTTTTTCTTTTTACAGATTCCAACAAAATGTTGGAAGAATATGGCCATATGCAAAACCAGGCGGAATTACAAAATACCAGTTTGGGAAAAGAGGTAGTTATGAATTCTCTTGAAACTGATCTCCAGCATATAATGGACAAACTCAACCAGAAAAAATACTCATCAAGTCTGAAATTAAAAACAAATGAAGACTACTCTGGTTCTTATTTAACACTCTCCCAGCCTCTGGCACCTAAATTGAGCCCTGCATCCAGTGTTAAAAGTATGCCATCTGTTTCCAAAATTCAGGGAATCAAATCTTTGGCTTGTGAGAACTCTTATCTTTCAGACAAAAATGCTTCTCGAAAGCATATGGGTCCCATTTCAGGCACATTCTCATCGTTAAGTGGGTGCAGCCTTGGAAAGAAAGACTTTGATGTTTATGCTACCAGGGAAAATGAAAAGCAGTTTGGACATCTGAGTAAATTTCCCTATTCAAAGTACAGTCAGAAAAATAAATCTCATGATAGTGTCTATTTCCCAGGAGCACTGGATGGGTGGAAAAACTCTGGATCTCTTCTTACAATGTGGAATGGGAATTCAGGAAATGATATCATTATTTCACCATTCGGCAGCTCTGGAGCTGCCAGTATGCCCTCTAGTCCAAAACAAAGCAGGAAAATGAATATACATGACATTATATCTGTTCAGGCTAGGTCAGCTAAACAAAAGGATTCAGTAATGGAAGCTCAGGGGCCTAGAACCAGAAAATATCCGGGTGGTTCATTGAGCCACATGGGAGTTTATAGTCGGTCATTGCCCAGGCTTTACAAATCAACAGAAAACCAACTCACACCACTGAGTTTACCACCCAGAAACTCTTTTGGGAATTCCAAAAGAAAGAAGACTTTTGAAAAAGACCTTCTACCTCAAAATATACTGGATGCCGACAATTACCTTCATTTTTCTTCTTGCACTTCAGGGGTATTGCCATACACAAACTTTCCACCTGAAGTGAATTCCTATGTAAATTCAACTCTCAGTGTTCCTGCAAGCCCCCGGATAGCTAGGAAAATGCTTGTGGCATCTACTTCCTCATATGCATCTGATGACTTTGATAGGGTTGGATTGTCAGAAACAAGCCCTAATAATTCATTTATTCCCTTTGATGCTGAGAGAGGGTTTCCTGCAAGAAGAAGAATTTCCAATAGCTCCATGGAGTTTGATGAAACAGATTTGGAAAGCCACAGGCAGACGCCTTCCATTCGAGAGAGAAAGAGCAGCATTAGTTCTGTTTCTGGAAGAGAAGACCTAATGGACTACCACAGGAGGCAAAGAGAAGAAAGGCTGAAAGAACAGGAAATGGAGAGACTGGTAATTTTTTTCCCAGTTAATTTTTAACAGTGTTTGCTATTATCATATCAAATATTACCCTTAAAGTTACTTATTATATGTGCAGCTGTTGTAGTAGTTTACAATTCAGGTGTTTGATTTTTCATGGGCGTCAGTGTTTGCCATCACACAAAAACTGGTCAAATCACATCCTGTTTTAAAATCTAAGCAGTGCAATGAAGCCATCTATACAGGGTAGGAAACTGAAAGAAATTTATGGTGCTTCGACTTGTGTGTTCTGACAAAATGATCAGGTATCCACAAATTATATCCTTCAGGTGTCCAGTACTTCAGAAAAGTACTGATGACACTGTTGTTTGCAGTGGTAAGATATGTACAACATGTTTCCCACCTAAGTTCTATAAATTATAGTCATAGGTATTATTTCAACAGAGAATATTTCTGTTTTGGCTTAAATGGTATTTATTTTCAAAAGCAGTATATATAGATAAAATTTAGGCCAGCTCTATACAGTTTGTAATTGCATGTGCATTTTTTTCTATGCCATTATGATTGTCATCGGTTTGCTTTTAAATTATCTAACATTAATATACACAATGTTCTTAACTATAAGAATTTTCTTTCTTTTTTGTTTAAGATGAAGTGATATTCATTATTTTAAAAAACTCTGGAAAACCTATTAATTTGAACACATTGAATAGTTTCCATATCTTAGAGAAAAACTTTAAGTCATCTGTGATATTTTTTCAAATCTGAAACATTTTACAGTAGGGAAGCATAATTTCAAGAATACATCAGAAATGAATGTACATCTTAAAAATGAAATTTTGATAATGGAAATTCGCTATTCATTTCATTGTATGGGTGTAATACATGAATACTTCACCTTGACTTATTTCCACTTAATTGAGAGAGACTTGCAAACAAGGACTTCTTTGCCTGGAATCGTTCCCATTGTCTTTTGTTTGTGGAAAAAATGGCAATCAGCTAAGCAAAAGTTGAGTGCATGTGCCAAATATAGTAGCAGTTTATTTGCTCTGAAGAAATTGTCTTTTCAACCTCATCTAATTAAACAGATAAAGTGCACATTGCATTGAAAAATAACTAATTAGTGTCAGAAGAAAGGAAAGAGAAAATTGGAGAAAGAAAACCACACTTTTAAACATAGGCAGAATCTAGTTTAGTCTTCTGCTGCAATTAGGTTGGAACTATAAATTCCAAAACTTCTAGGTCTGATAGAGCGGATACAGTAAGGATCTGTCTACAGTTTAAAAAGTGAACTGAGATCATCCAGAAAAAAGACACAAGTACAGTATGGGAAAATTCTGAATTCCTAGGTTCCAGTTCACCCCTGCTTAATGTGTGTACAGTTTACAGTTTTCCTTTTTAAAAATAACTTTGTCTTTTATATATGCTTGAATTAGAAAAACCTCTAATATGAAACTACTCGGGACACATTAGGGATGGATAGGGGTGAAAACCATAGATGGGTATAAAACTGATATAAATTGTCTCATAAATTGTCCCTAATATTAGGCTGCCAAATATCACTCTGTATAGCTTTTGATGGAAAGAGGGAGAATATTCTGTATCTACTGTTTCCATCTACCATAGTAATTGTCTGGCTGTTTGTATCCAAGAACTTTATCCTACCTAACTTGTAAAAATTTAGTCATTAAAGAGTACTGAAAATGGTTTTAATTTCACAATTCTCATTTAAGTCAATAGAGGCTGATCTATGTACCCTGGGAAACAATATAAACCCAAAATATTTTATTTCCTAAGAATCAACAGTATACCTTCTTTTTTTATTAATAAAGTTTTATTTGGGTTTTCACACATACAAGTAAAACATCTTTTTTGAAAATAGCATGGTCCCGGGTTGAACTTCTTTATACAGACACAAAACTCAATTTCATGCTCCTTTTTGTATTTTATTCCATATCTTATATTATTTTACATTTTCTATATAGTTTTTCCCCTCTTTTAATTTTCTCAATTTTATTTTGATTATCTCATCTCAATTCAAATCATTATATTTATGCTTTTGTCAGTTCTGTTTCAATTTCATATTATCTTTTCTCATTAAACAAATTTTCTCCTGTAGTTACTAATTGGAGTATGACACCTTTATATCTTTTAATTACATCCATTCAACTCTTATTTAAACTTCAATATATACCTTAAGTTTATGACCTTCAATATAATACATAATACATAACTTCCAATCAAATTCTGCTTGGTACATTCTTATAATACACACTATATTCTTTAAAAAAATTGTAAATATATGTAATTATAAACCCTCATTCCAGTTCAGTTCTATCATTAATAATCATTAAAATCTTAACATCTTTAACACTTCTTTTCAATTAAATATCATACTTCCTTAAAAACACATATAATCTCCATAATTAATTTTCCCTTATTTCTCTTCACATATGTTTTATAAATCATTAAATATACCTTTTGTTACATTTATTTATTGACAAGCATTCCACTAAATTACGATAGCTATTTTATCAGACATTTTAATCATACATTGTTTCATATTTTCTAAAATTATTTCTGCTTCTAATATAACCATACTATCTTATGTACCTTTGCAGAATCCCTTTTTCCATTAAGTTTTCACCCATTATCTCCAAATAGGCCCTGTTTCTCTATATTTTGCTTCTGTCCTTTATAACTTCTTTTCCTTTCTTTCTTCCCTCTCATCTTCTCCCTCCCCTTTTTACTCCCTTGTCTCTCTAGTTCTAATTCTCTCTTCTGCATTTCCCTCTTCTGTTGCTTTCTGATTTTATACTTATTTTTCACTCTATTTTGGGGGGGGGGGGAGTTTTTCCCAATCTTAAACTTTCCATTCTCTTTCCCCCCTTTCCTTTTTTCCCCCCATCTAAGATTACTTTTTCATTAAAGATGGCTTCTTCTTTGTCGCAATCTTCTTGTTCTGCAGGCATTTCTTGTTGTTTCTCATAATTCCAAATCTCCATTTCTAAAAACTGAAATACGAAGCCAAAAGAACCTCTCCCTTCTTGCGCATCTTGTACTTTTTAAGTTCCATTTTCAGTTCTTCTAAAAGTGGAGCCATTTTAAACAATTTTAAACAACCGCCCGATTGATTTTAGTCATTCAAAACAATAACCAAGAATCCAGAAATCATCAAGTAATCCAGATAGTCCCGAGTTATATCTTCTTATTTCTTTTTCGACTTTCTCTTCCTGGGGTTTTTGTTGCGATATTTCAGTTAGAATGTATCTTTTGGAAGTCTTGTTGAGATTTTGTTGTAAGTTCTTTTTTAATTCCAGGCAGTCTCCTCCCTTCCAGATCCTACCCTTTTATTCTTTTTCCCTCTTTTCCTGTTTTCAAAAGCTTTTAATTTTCCAGACTATTATCCCTTTGACTTTTTATTTTCAGCATTAAATGCCTATTGATGTCAAAGTGGATTTTTTTCCAATTTCTTGCTTAAGTCTCTTAGCAGTCAGTATAGGGAAAGGAGAAAACCAAATCTTTTCCCTTTTCTCTCTCCTTCGCAGCTTAAAAATCTTCTTAGGGAACAATGTTATTGTTTTTTAATAGTTTCAATTCCAGGGTACCTTATTTGTTGCTTTTGCTGTTTGACCCGGTCAACCAAAACTTTCTCTTCTTATCTTCCTCCTGCACATTCTTTTCCGGTCGAGTTCTTCTGTGTGGTGGCCATTTCTGACCACTGCTGCAACCGCCTTCGGGAAAGGGAGTAATGGCCAGCTGGGGAGGAGAGATGCGGCTCTCCTCAACCCTGCTGGCAGTCTCCCCCCTCTTTACCACCTCTATGGGGTGGCTTAACCCCGAAACCAGCAGGCTCGGGGCGCTCCAGCGGCAAGCACGGATCGAAGCCTCGCAGAGATGAGGTTTTGGTCTGTCGCTGAAGAAGCTCAAACCGGAAGCCCCAATATACTTTCTTTAGTCAATATATATATTACCCAAAACTGATTATGTTACTTTTATTTCCCCTCAAAGGAGGGGCATAGAAGAGGCAGAATGATTTATTTCACACTGTATTATAACAAATTTTAAAATATTTAATAACAAATTAATGCTCTTTCATTACATTTTTATCATATGCTTGATGGGGCTACTTTAAACAGTGATGGATAGTCTTTTTGGGATAAAGACCATATGTTTTGGTCATATAGTATACTGGGGATTGAGTGGGTACAGTATAGAACAGAATTTTAAAATTAAAATTAAATTTACAAATTTAATTCCCTCCAAAAATATGTCTTTTGAACATCTTATGAAATTGCATAAGAGTTTGATATTTTTGCATGATTTCTTAAGCAAGATTGATGAAATATATGGAAACTATATGAGATTCTATTTTATTATCATAAAATATTTTTATTTTAATTTATTATTCAGATTTCAGGGCTTGACGGCCATTGATGAAAATGGAAAAATGCATGCCTTTTGAATTGCATACAATCATTTGCAACAATTAATCTGATACTCACAGGATTGTTGTTAGGGAAAAATAGGAGGTTACGGTGTGTTAGATATATTCATTGCCTTATTTATAAAATAATGAAGGTGGGATATAAATAAATAAATAAATGCTTGAAAAATAGGAAAAGCAGAAGCAAAATATATCTTTTGAGAAAGATGTCCTAAAACCCTAAAAGTAATCTGAAATATTCCTATATTGTTAAAGGCTCTTGATGTTAGTGTAAAAATTAAGAAGAAAAATATGCAATGAATTATTCTGATGACTTCTTCCATTATACCTTTATAAAGGCTGAAAGAAATCATTTTCTGTTTAGAGACAGGACAAAAAAAAATTCCAATTTATTTGACAGCTGTTTCCTTTGTACAAATAGTTTTGTTTTTCTGAACAGGATATGAGTTCATTTGCTTTGAAACATGTTAAAAAGTTAAAGTGAGTGCATGTTTATATATAAAGGAATTTCCTCCCACTTGATTGGTTTTCTCTTTTAGCATCCTGTGCATTCAAACATTGTGGAGGCATTCACAAGTAGAATAAT